ATGGAGCAGCCTATGCATGTGTGGAGGCAAAGTGTCTATGGGAAATCTCTGTACCTTCCTCTCAGTTTTACTGTAAATGTAAAACTGCTCTGAAAACATTAAGTCTTTAAAAAATACATTCTTTAGGGGCGCCTGGGTGGCTCAGTGGGTTAAGCCTCTGCCTTCGGCTCAGGTCATGATCTCAGTGTCCTGGGATCGAGCCCCGCATCGGGCTCTCTGCTCCGCAGGAAGTCTGCTTCCTCCTCTCTCTCTCTGCCTGCCTCTCTGCCTACTTGTCATCTCTATCTGTCAAATAAATAAATAAATAAACCTTAAAAAAAAAAATACATTCTTTAGCGTTCAGTTACAGAACAGGGTTTGCTGCTTTGTGAGACCCCTCTTTGTGTTTAGTTTTGTTGGGCCTGGAAGGGAAAATCTAGAAGGGGGTCTGGCAGACAGTGCATGCTCCTGGTGCTTGTGCGGTAGGGGAGGAGGAAGGGTCTGGATAGAGGGAGCAGAGCAGCGGTACATGCCGTCAGGGTACCAGTGAGCCTGTAGATGGGATCCAGGGCTCAAGCCAGATGAGAAGCAAATACGGGGTTTTTCTTGTTTTTGAGTCCTGACTGAAGTTGGGGAGGGGTAGGAGAGAGATCATTGTTCTTTCTTACTCAGTTTATTCTCCCTAAAACAGGCTGAAATGGAGAAAAAGAGTATAGGTTGGAGAAAAATAAGTTAGAAAAGAATCTATTAAGTTATCATAGGACTTCGGTCAAGATAGCTTTCTGCCTTTGCATCCTCTCCTCTGACTCATCTAGAAGGATCTTAAATCATCAGAAAGGTTAGTCAGAAGGATTCATTAGGCTTTATCATAATCTTAGCATATTTGATCAGATGGTTCAAATGTGTATAATTTTTAATTTGGTAAGCAATTTATTTTCTTGACTCAAACCAGTGGTGTTATAATATTCATATGATCTGAGATAATATAAAGCTGATTTGAAGTTATTTCCTCAACTAGAATCTTTATAGTCAAATAATTTCTGCTGAAAACATAAATTATAAATATCTAAATTATCTACATAGGTTAGAAATTCATAACAGCTGCTGAAAAAATGATTTCAATACCATTAGAATTCAGCATTAATAACAGTTTAAAGTACTATTTCATTATAGGTTGAACCTCCAAGAAGGTGCTTCTTTCTAACTGACTTGAAGTGCATTTTTGTTAGAGCTCGGCTCTGTATTGTTTTGCTTATATATAAACACCTCCCATTGCCTTTGACTATTTTTTTTAAAGATTTTATTTATTTATTTGACAGACAGAGATCACAAGTAGGCAGAGAAGCAGGCAGAGAGAGAGGAGGAAGCAGGCTCCCCGCTGAGCAGAGAGCCCGACGCGGGGCTCGATCCCAGAACCCTGGGATCGTGACCTGAGCTGAAGGCAGAGGCTTTAACCCGCTGAGCCACCCAGGTGCCCTGTCTTTGACTATTTTTTAAGATGGAAATCTTTCTCTTTTTTGCCATTATATTTCAGTTTTTTTGCTTATGTAATTTAATATTCTACCAACTAGAAAACATATTTTCTTTTAAATGGAAATGGCTATTTTTTCCCTTATTTTTTAGTACTTATTTAATAGTACTACATGTTTGGATTTTAAAAAAATGTTAGAAAATTTAGAAAACTATAAAAATGAAAAAACTCTGTAATCCTATCCAGAAATAGTTGTTTTGTTGTATATCCATCTAGGCATTTTTCTATGCACAAAACACAGGTTTGTTTGTTTTTTAAGATTTTATTTTATTTATTTGACAGAGAGAGATAGAGATCACAAGTAGGCAGAGAGGCAGACAGAGAGAGGGGGGGAAGCAGTCTCCCTGCTGAGCAGAGAGCCCGACTCGGGGCTCGATCCCAAGACCCACAGATCATGACCTGAGCCGAAGGCAGAGGCTTAACCCACTGAGTCACCAAGTTTCCCCCAAAACACAGTTTTAAATATAAAAATGTAGTCCTGTTGTACATGCTGCTCTATAGTGTGCTTTTTTTTCCTATTTTACATTGAATTATGGACATTTTTATATGTTTATAAATTCTGATTACATTTTTACTTTTAATAGCTGGATAAATTCCATTATAGGTATACCATATTTTTTGAAGTAGTTTTTCTGTTGATGGTGATCACTTAAGTTTGATTTTTCTTGAAAAAGAGCCACATGAATAGATTGGAAAGATTTCCCTCAGGTATGATTTAGTTAAAAAGGGAAGATGCAAAAATGTATTAATAATATGATTTCCGTGTTAGCAAAACAATAATAATCTATATGTGTATATTTGTGTAAGTATAGAAGAATAAGTGTGGATGAAAATACAGCAAGGTTAAAGCATAATTCAAGGATATATTCTAGATCTAGGATATACAGAAAGGGTACTGCTATAGGTGGATAAGGGAGGAAAAGATATTAAGGGAAATAAACTCAAAAGGAAAAGAGAAAAACACTGCTGGGGTGGCTGGCTGGCTCAGTTGGTGGAGTTGCAACTCTTGATCTTGGGGTTGTGAGTTCGAGCCCCTCATTGGGTGCAGAGATTCCTTAAAAATAAAATCTTTAGGGGCGCCTGGGTGGCTCAGTGGGTTAAAGCCTCTGCTTTCGGCTCAGGTCATGATCCCAGTGTCCTGGGATCGAGCCCCGCATCGGTCTCCTTGCTCAGCAAGGAGCCTGCTTCTCTCTCTGCTGTTGCCTGCTGCTCTGCCTGCTTGTGTTCTCCCTCTCTCTCTCTCTCTGACCAATAAATAAATAAATAAAAATAAAAAACAAACAAAAAAAATCTTTAAAAAAAATAAAATCTTTATTTTATTTTTTAGATTTTATTTAAATTCAAGTTAGTTAAAATATAGTGTATTATTAGTCTCAAGGGTAGAATTTAGTGATTCATCAGTTGCGTATAACAGCCAGTGCTCATTACATCAAGTACCTTCCTTAATACCCATCACCCAATTACTCGGTCCCCTCACCAACCTCCCCTCCAGCAATTCTGTTCCCTTTAAGAGTATCTTAGGGTTTGCTCCCTGTTTTTATCTTATTTTTTCCTTCCCTTTTCCTGTGTTCATCTGTTTTATTTCTTAAATTCTACATGAGTGAAATCATATGGTATTTGTCTTTCCTTGATTATTTCACTTAGCATAATACACTCTAGTTCCATCCATGTCATTGCACATGGCAAGATTTCATTCTTTTTGAAGGCTGAGTAATATTCCAGTGTGTGTGTGTGTGTGTGTGTGTACACACTATATCTTTATCCACTCATCAGTTGATGGACATCTAAAAATAAAACCTTAGAAAAGAAAACAGTGCACTATTTTTAAAGTATATGTGCTATCGTACTTGTTATAAAAATATATGAATATTAAAATAACCATATATCATTTTGATATCATATAAAAATATATAAAATATAAACATTATCATACTTGTTATAAAAATTATGTTAATAGTAGACATGTTTATTTTTTGTAATTTTTTAAAGATTTTATTTATTTATTTGACAGAGAGCTAGAGAGCACACGTAGGCAGAGTGGCAGGCAGTGGGAAGAGAGAAGCAGGTTCTCCGCTGAGCAGGGAGCCCAACATGGGGCTCGATTCCAGGACCCCGAGATCATGACCCGAGCCGAAGGCAGATGCCTAGCTGACTGAGCCACCCAGGTGCCCCAGGAGTAGACATATGTTTGAATGAATTAATGTAAAATTTTTTTCTGTGCTTAAAAGTAACCAGAATAAGAAAAAAACAAAAAGTTGAAAATATAGATCTAAGATTGATGCCTAATAACCTCAGGTGCAACCATTTTTTTAAAATTGGTCATTAAAAAAGTTTTTAAGTTTTCTCTTACACATCAGACTTTATGAATATGTTTGCATATATCTCTATATCTGTTTATATTTCAGTTTATATTTATGTTTCTTTGCAATTTCATCAATGCTAGGTATTTTCAATTTTTTAGATCTTTGCTTATGTGATATAATAAAATAGCATCTTGTGGTTTTATTTTACTTTTCTTTGATTACTAGTTACGTTCATTATTTTTTCATATGTTTGCTACAAGTTTTCATTTTTGTCAATTGTTCTTTATCCATTTTTCTTTTAGTATTTAACTGTCTTACTGATTTATAAGGCCTTTATTTGGTAATAAAAATATTATGGTATATTTACTTATGTTTCCTATTACTTTTATAATCTCATTTTTTACATTAAATGCCTTAAAATATCTCGAATTAATTTCTATCCAAGGGATGAGGTAACTTTTACATAGTTAACCAAGTAATCCTAGCATTAATTAATTGAGTCATCTATCTTGAAAGAGCCTTGCCTTTTTTTTTTTTTCAAGATTTTATTTATTTGACAGAGAGAGATCACAAGTAGTCAGAGAGGGAGAGAGAGAGAGAGAGAGGGAGGAGGAAGCAAGCTCCCTGCCCAGCAGAGAGCCCGATGCGGGACTCGATCCCAGGACCCTGAGATCATAACCTGAGCTGAAGGCAGAGGCTTAATCCACTGAGCCACCCAGGCAGCCCCAAGAGCCTTGCCTTTTTAAAAAATCAGAAAGCATCTCTTCTCTTTTCTCTGCTCCTGAATTTCTAGAGGGAAACAAATTTTGTTGTATAACTGAAAGCAGAGAAAAAAGAAACCAGAAGTTAGCAATTCTCAACAGGTTCAGAAATAACTGTATGACATCCTAGAATCTACCTTTTATAGTTCTATACTATATTCCCGCCCAGTGATACACAGATAAGTAGGTACTTTTGTGATTAGACCTGGGCTTTTATATCCCTTCAGTTTCTTGGCAGAGGTGAGACTAACAAGGCAGTTCTCTCACGATAATTGGGCACAATCCTGGATACACTGGATTCATGAATTTGTGCATGTTTAAAGGGGGAATGGGCTTAGAGAAGCTAAGGATTTATTTCTACCTGACTGTATAGTATTCTAAGAGATTGGATCAGGTTTTAATTTTTGAAATAATTTTCCCTTTTAGGACAGAGGCATATATTTTCCCTCCTACTCCTGCTAAGTACCCTCCCGTACCTTCAAAGTATACCGTGGGTACTCAGACTGATTATCGGGATGCTGAAGTTCAAACTGATCCGTATTCTCCAGAATATGTAGTATGTCAGGATTCAATCCCTGAGCTCTTGACCTTGGCTACTCTTACGTGGGGTGAGTTGACAATTGTCTTGATTATTTTTGAAGGCCTGTCCTGATAACAGTGCATGCTGTTGAGTTCCTGGAAATGATGTGCTCAGAGGCAACTGGCTCTGTTGCTGTTTAAAATGTCTTGCTCAGAAGAGCTACTTCACAGACTCATGCTTCTATCAATACTTTTCTTCAAGGAGAGTATACCCTTTCCATTTTAAGGAGGCTTATTGTACTTTATCCTCGAAGCTGAAGTTCTATTTCAGCTTAATTTTGTGTTTATTTGCTGACTACTCACCTCCCCCCACCCCCAAACTGTTTTTCCTAGTGAATCAATTCTTTTTCATTGAGCAATCCTCACTCCCTCTTTACATATAAACCTTTTTTGAGTGTATAATACTGAGTGTATATTCCACCATATGTAACAGTATTATCTTACTTTGCCAAAATATCTTGCAGTTATCAAAGCTCTCTTATATACCCCTATTGGATGATTTGCGTGATTTCTTTTGCTGGTATCTCTAAAATGTCAGTATGGTTCAGGCTCAGAAATTCACTCTTAGAATGCAATAAAATCTGACCTAGGCCTATATTATGTGAAATTAGAAAAATTAATAAGGAAAGGGGCTTTTAAAAAAATTATTTTATTTTTTCAGTGTTCCAAGATTCATTGTTTATGCACCACACCCAGTGCTCCATGCAATACGTGCCCTCCATAAAACCCACCACCAGGCTTACCCATCTCCCTACCCCCACCCCTCCAAAACCCTCAGTTTGTTTCTCAGAGTCCACAGTCTCTTATGGTTTGTCTCCCCCTCCGATTTCCCCCAACTCACTTCTCCTTTCCTTCTCCCAATGTCCTCCGTGTTATTCCTTATGCTCCACAAGTAAGTGAAACCATATGATAATTGACTCTTTCTGCTTGACTTATTTCACTCAGCATAATCTCCTCTAGTCCCGTCCATGCTGATACAAAAGTTGGGTATTCATCCTTTCTGATGGAGGCACAATATTCCATTGTATATATGGACCACATCTTCTTTATCCATTCGTCTGTTGAAGGGTATCTTGGCTCTTTCCACCATTTGGCTATTGTGGCCATTGCTGCTGTGAACATTGGGGTACAGATGACCCTTCTGTTCACTACATCTGTATCTTTGGGGTAAATACCCAGTAGTGCAATTGCAATAGGGTAGCTCTATTTTTAATTTCTTTTTTTTTTTTAAGATTTTATTTATTTATTTGACAGAGATCACAAGTAGGCAGGCAGAGAGAGAGAGAGGAGGAGGAAGCAGGCTCCCTGAGGAGCAGAGAGCCCGATGCAGGGCTCAATCCCAGGACCCTGAGATCATGACCTGAGTTGAAGGCAGAGACTTTAACTCACTGAGCCACCCAGGCGCCCGCCCTAGTCTATTTTTGATTTCTTATGGGATCTCCACTCTGTTTTCCAAAGTGGCTGCACCAATTTGCATTCCCACTGGAACTCAGTGTAAGAGGGTTCCAGAAAGGGGCTTTTGGAAATGAGTAGACATTAGCTTCTTGAACTCACTTGATTGTAGCTGGGAAACTGAGAGCCAGGGAAGCCAGCTCCTCCTAGGTGTTAGAGATAGTTGGTATACTATAATGATTTTTATTAAAATGAGTTACTTTTGTTTCCCAGTTGTGACAGTTTGCTCTGGTCAAGTCTGTGTCATAGACAGTAAAGATGTTCATATCTGAGACCTAATTTGGTTCTTGTTTCCTGGCTCACCTTACAAATTCAGAAGCATTCTTTACATCCATACTTGAAAGTAGAGGCTCTACTTTGAAATGAGATTTTCAGATGAGGTTTCAGACTGATTAAAAATATGCTGAAACTTTTCCCTTCTGCTCTGAATATGTATACGTATTAGTGTATATATATATGAAAATATATATTGGTTATATGTTTATTAATGTGTTTGTATACACATATATACTTTTTAAGAAAGGAAGAAAATTTCCATAGTTTAGAAGTGTAGACTAACTAAAAGAAAGAAGTAGGTGGGAGCCTATGATGATGAGCAGGGACTGTGAATGGTGGGGAGCCAGATCTGAAATGCCTGCCTGAACTAGAAGAAGCAGGACTTTTCTCCTGCCCACAGGTGGGACTGAAGCCCAGTGCCTGCCAACACAGATGTTGAAGTATCAGTAAAAACCACTGAGTCAGGTCTACCCCCTCATTTGTAAGGCCCTCAGTAGGAGCTTAAAGGGAGGCCTGTATACTATATGTATAGATGTTTTAAAATGATAAATCAAGTTAATATCTGTTAAGTAAAATATTTTAAGGAAAAGGATCTGTATTTTTCACAAATATATCTTTTTTCTATTTTTTAAAAAATATTTTATTTATTTATTTTCAGAGAGAGAGAGAACATGCACAAGAAGGCAGAGTGGCAGGAAGAGGCAGAGAGAGAAGCAGGCTCCCCGCTGAGCAAGGAGCCCAATACAGGACTCGATCCCAGGACCCTAGGATCATGACCTGAGCCGAAGGCAGAAGTTTAACCCACTGAGCCACCCAGGCGTCCCTACAAATATATCTTTATAACAAGTTGAAAGGACAAGTTTAAATGGAAAATTCTTAGGTTCCTTGGGATTCTTTGGTTGAATGGGGCAGCAAGAAAAGAGGCTGCCTGTGACTTACATTTTTCCTCTGGCTCTGTTCCACATCATGAGGGGCCTGTCATGTATGCATGTGATTACTTCACTTTGTTTTTCCAATCTCTGCATTCATATCCCTGTAAACAGCTGCCACGTGGCTACTCCTTGGGTTTAAGGATGAATAAACAGGGGCACCTGGGTGGCTCAGTTGGTTAAACATCTTCTTTCAGCTCAGATCATGATCCCATGGTCCTGGGATCAAGCCCAACATTGGGCTTGCTTGGTGAAGAGCCTGCTTCTCCCTCTCACTCTGCTGCTCCTTGTGCTTGTGATTTTTTTCTCTCTCTCTCTGTTAGATGAATAAAATCTTAAGAAAAAAGGGGGGAGGGGAGTGGCCAAACAGCAGCATATAGTCTGCCCAGGGGAGTCTGAATTCTAGGAAGAGGTCCATGTAGATACTGCAAGGAGGCTTGGGCCATTTGTTCAAGGAATTCCAAGGTCCCTAAGAGTAGAGTAGGTTCAGCTGGGCATAGTCTGTTGAACTCCTCATCTTATGATAATGGGCAGGGCTCTAAAGAATGAGGCTGGGGAGCTATCCCTTTTGCCAGGTCATAGAGTGTTACTACCCAGGGTGCTCATGAGAGAACTCTACAGATGATCTCAACCCAAGAATCACAAAATATCTAAAGAACACAGGCACCAGGAGTGATCCACAAAAAGTTAAAAAAGAGAGAGAGAGAGAGAGAATAAATTCCTGAGCAAACAGAGCAAATGGAGCAATCTGAAAAGGACTTGGGGAATACTTTTTATATCCTCAAAGATACAAAGAGGGATAAAACATAAAAACGAGAGTGGGAGCTATGAAAAAGAACCAGTTGCAATCACTGGGAAAACTATGAAGTTTGAAATAAAATGAGCTCAGTAGTAAACTAGGCAGTGCTGAAGAACAAATTAGTGAAATGAAAGAGTAAATGAGCAAATATTCCAGAATGCAATATTCAAAGGTAGAATAAGGTTAAAAAAGAAAAAAAAAGGTAAGAACCATGGGGGATAGTGTTATAAGATCCTATAACAGAGAGAATGGTGGAGAAGCAATGCAAGAAAAGATAATGGCTGAGAAAGATAAATGGCTGAGAATTTCCCAGGACTAAAGAAAGATATGAATCATGTACTGTTGGATCCTATTGGCTAGTATTTGGTGACAATTTTTGCATGTGTTCATCAAGGATATTGGCCTGTAATTCTCTTTTTTGATGGGGTCTTTGTCTGGTTTTGGTATCAAGGTAATGCTGGCCTCATATAATGAGTTTGGAAGTTTTCCTTCCATTTCTATTTTTTTGGAAGAGTTTCAGGAGGATAGTATTAATTCTTCTTTAAATGTTTGGTAGAATTCCCCTGGGAAGCTGTCTGGTCCTGGGCTCTTGTTTTTTGGGAGATTTTTGATGACTGCTTCAATCTCCTTACTGGTTATGGGTCTGTTCAGGTTTTCTATTTCTTCCTGGTCCAGTTTTGGTAGTTTATATGTTTCTAGGAATGCATCCATTTCTTCCAGATTGTCAGATTTGCTGGCGTATAGTTGCTCATAATATATTCTTTTTTTTTTTTAATTTTTTTTTATTTTTTCAGCGTAACAGTATTCATTATTTTTGCACCACACCCAGTGCTCCATGCAATCTGTGCCCTCTCCAATACCCACCACCTGGATCTCCCAACCTCCCACCCCCCACCCCTTCAAAACCCTCAGATTGTTTTTCAGAGTCCATAGTCTCTCATGGTTCACCTCCCCTTCCAATTTCCCTCAACTCCCTTCTCCTCTCCATCTCCCCTTGTCCTCCCTGCTATTTGTTATGCTCCACAAATAAGTGAAACCATATGATAATTGACTTTCTCTGCTTGACTTATTTCACTCAGCATAATCTCTTCCAGTCCTGTCCATGTTGCTACAAAAGTTGGGTATTCATCCTTTCTGATGGAGGCATAATACTCCATAGTGTATATGGACCACATCTTCCTTATCTATTCGTCTGTTGAAGGGCATCTTGGTTCTTTCCACAGTTTGGTGACCGTGGCCATTGCTGCTATAAACATTGGGGTACAGATGGACCTTCTTTTCACTACATCTGTATCTTTGGGGTAAATACCCAGGGGTGCAATGGCAGGGTCATAGGGAAGCTCTGTTTTTAATTTCTTGAGGAATCTCCACAGTGTTCTCCAAAGTGGCTGCACCAACTTGCATTCCCACCAACAGTGTAAGAGGGTTCCCCTTTCTCCACATCCTCCCCAACACATGTTGTTTCCTGTCTTGCTAATTTTGGCCATTCTAACTGGTGTAAGGTGGTATTTCAATGTGGTTTTAATTTGAAACTCCCTGATGGCTAGTGATGATGAACATTTTTTCATGTGTC